CCGGCGTTCCCTTCTTCTGTCTCCTCCATTGAAAGGTCACATGAGCAATGCAATAGCAAAACCCCAATTAATGGGACGAGTCGCCTCCCATATCCATTGACCTACTTGCTCTTATTCCCTCCACCACCACCACCAATCCCCATTATATGAAATCTCCACTTAATCGCTAAAATGAAGATCCCCATATCCCCCAAATTTAATTTTGAAATCCCTAACCCCATATTCAACCGGACGGAACTCTGCAAAAAGGAGTCCAAGAGCAAGCACGCCGACATCAGAGTCATGGCGGCCGGTTGCGCCGCGCACCGAAGCTGGGCCATGCTTCACTGCAGCGACAACACTCCGGCGAACATCACGATGGCAGCATCAGGCGGGAGAGGGCGCCAATACTTATGCTTGGAGAGAATTTATTTAAATGTAGATCCGATTTTGTTGAGCAGAGGGGGTGGTGAGGCGGTAGCTTCTGACGGTGCGAAGTGGTGGTGGATGGGTATCAGTGGAAGGCAGAAAGATAAGATAGAGATGACGAGGAAGCGGCCTTCAATTTCAGTCGGCTGTTGTCTGGTTTTTTTCATTTTATTTTTGTTGACAAATGGATGATGTAGCATTTTTTAATGCAACGTGATAATATTTATTACACATTAGCATCGCATCTACCACCTCACATCTTTTAACGGAATTGTTGACGGAGATTTAACGTTTGACTATTATTTTGTATTTTTAACGGTTTGGCTAATATTTTAGATTGCCAGAAAGATTTTGATAAAAAATATTTTTTACCCTTTATAAAATCTTGTTACAAGGTGTATTAGAGGGGGAAAATGTCATCATTGGAAATTGAACACATGACCGTGAAAATCTTGAAAATTGAAAATTTTCAATGCTTTTGAATCTTGATTGAATTGGGCCATTGGGGTTTCATCCAAAGCATAACAAGTATCAGCTCTACTAGTCATCACACATTTTGCTTCTGAACGGATCTTGGTAGGAGTGTGCAATGGGTTGGTCCACATTGGATCGTCTTGGAACAAATCGATATTTGGACCGAATCATATCGAATCAGATATAATATGGTCCAGTTGGTTGCATAGATTTTATAAATATTGAAGAAAAATGGACCAAGCCAAAGCATAACAAATGCATTATTTATCCGGTCCTTGGTCCTAAAATATTTTTCACTATTCTGGTGAATTTGATTTGACCCGGACCGGATTGAACCGTTGCACACTCCTAGATCTAGGCTATACACTTGACAGAGGACTGCAATCCGTAACACCTTGGACAATGTTCCTTCGATATAGAACTCAACACCAAACTTCATAATAAACTTATCCAAGTTCCGTCTATTACCCAAACCTTTCAAGAATTGGACAACCTAGCACAATGTGAAATCCCAATCGGGACAGAGAAAAATAGGGGAGAAATTGATCAAGCAGCTTGATGGATTATCCTACAAATTATGTAGGAAAGCTAGGGGTGATAGTCAATTCGGTTGCAGTTTAACCGGCTGAATTCTTGGTTAACCGACAACCCATATGCCTCTAAATGACCAACCAATAGTCTAGATCGGTTAGTCACAAGCGCAACAGATTTTGATTTGGTTAGATGAAAAATCGACAAAATTAAATATGATGAAAAAAGGGGCGGCAAAATTAAATGGGCACCAAAAAATTCACCCTTGTCTCTTCGTCTTCTCCATTCTCCATGCTCTCTTATCTGCTACGAAAATTCAATCTATTCTTTTATTCTGAGTCTCCTTTTATCTCTGCAAATCAAAAGAAACACCTTTCAATCTTTTGTTTATTCTCTGTCCGATCATAAGCTTCTTCACCCAAATACGGCATGGCGGTGGTGCGACGAGGAACAGTCATGGCAAAGCGGGTGCGAAACATGCAAAGGAAGGATCGAAAAATGGCAAAAGAGGCAAAAAGAGGATGAACTAGGCGAGACAGCAACCTACGATCAAACAGAAGCCTGCTGGATTTCCTCTCAGATTCTTTCGCTGTCGTTGGTTCCATCTTCCATCCCAACTCCTACATATCCACCGCTCTAGAGGCGTTTGAGAAGGTGAGATGGCGGCGGGACGACAAGTTGACGACGGCTGGGAGACGATGGGGTCGAAAAGGTGAGAACGATGGATGGATGAGGGTTTGTCGTTCTTCAATTCGATTGATGGATTTGGAGATTAGGGTAAAATTGGGAGGAGGGGGCAGGAGGCGATGTTGGTGTTTCATACTCCTGATGTTGGAGGAAGGAGACGACTTCATGCCTTATGTGTTGCGGCGATTATTGAGAGCCACCGATCAGTGTTCAGTTATTCACTAGTAATCGCACGATGAACCGAAAAATCCATTTTCCCTAACCGCCAACAAAAAGAGAAGCCTTTTATCAGTTTTTGGTCAACCAAATAACGGCGATTTACGATTCAGTTTGAAGTTATTCGACTAACCAAAAACTGTTTAACAACCCTAAGAAAAGTTTTATGTTTGTCTTTGGCTACGTTAAATTGGTATTTTCATTTCCTACGCGGTGTAATATGCGGATGTCCGGGTTTGGTATATTCGCTTATGAAATTTCTGTCGCTCATGTATATCTATCATCTCACGATTTGCCCACAAAAGTTAAACTTTTCGCCTTGTCTCTCTCTCTCTCTCTCTCTCACGAGCTAGGGCAATGAACGTGCATATTTGATGAGCTAATAAGTCTGTGCTCCACCTACCTCCAAATAGTTATGTCCTTACAGCCTATTGAGGGGTCGTTTGGATGGGTTAATTGATTGTGAGATATTTTTAAGATGAAATAACTCGTTATTTTTATGAAACGGACGAGGCTCCTCTGGTACCTTTTTATTCTATCATTGGGCTTTGATCAGAAATTAGAGCTGGTACAATAAAGCACGACGGGCTATTATGACAAAAGTTACAGGGAACTAAATCAGGAGGGGGGTGAGCTAATTTGTGAGCAACCTCATTTGCCTCCCTCCTAGTATAAAGCCACCCTCTACAATCGCCATTGCTGGTTTCATCATGAATAGCTCTACAAATTGTTTCGAGCTCCAACGGGTCCTGTTCTTCCTACGGTAGCCTTTGGATTACAACCTGACAATCAAACTCAATCACATAATGACCCAAGCCTCTACCTTCAAGGCTTTCAACAGCAAAGAGAATCGCTCTGGCTTATGCAATTACTGGTGTCCAACTCTCTTCTTTGGCCCTTGTTGTTGTTCACACAAAACTACCATTTCAATCACAGACAACCACCCTCAACCTTGTTCCTAAAGACCTTCGACATCCAGCATCTATGTTAACTTTGAGCATACCCATTGTAGTTGGTTGCCACGTCTATTGTTTGATGTTTTGGACTGCGTGACTTTGCCTCCCTCTCTCCTGCACATGTAAGAACTCTGCTAGATATAGTTGTGCATGTATAGCCACTTCTTCCTCTTCAAGCTTTTGTCCATTAAACTGTTGCTTGTTTCATTCTTGCCATAGCAATCCCAAAAGAGAACTCATCCCTTGTTGGACCTCCATTGTATTGCTATCAGGATGCTGCTAAACCACTCTCCCATTGTTATATTGTCTGCATGAGTAGTCCATTCTTCCCACCCGTTGCGTCGCCAAATCCATCTGGACCAGTCACATTCAAGGAATCTCTGGAGTTGTGTTTCTGCGATACCACAGTACGGGCAATCCTTGCTCCAATCCTCTATCTTCTTGGGCAAGTTTTTGTTTGTTGGCAAGATGTCATGAACTATTCGCCACAAGGATAGAGTTCCTTTGGCAGTATATGAAGTTTCCAAATTTTTCGCCAATTGTTCCTTTCTTGGGTAATACCCTGCTCATCTTCTACCTCGTGTTCCTCTTCTTCTGGTGGTTCTTCGATTGCTAATTGATAGCCTTTCCTCACTGTATACCTTCCGTTTGAAGTCATGTCCCAGCAACGAACGTCCCTTGAAGGTGCATTAGGTAGAGAGATGGTCTGGATGTCTCGTACATATTCAAGGGAAACACAAAAGTTGTAGCAGATCACTCCTCCAACAGGTTCTTTCATGGTCGATAAGGTCATAAACCCATTCACAACCCATTTTTCTTGCTGTCCCACCTGCAGTCTTTTGCCTGGTAGAGCAGGAACCCACTAGTCTTCCCAGATTTTGATGTTTGATCCATTCCCGACTCGCCACATGCACCCTTTCAGAATCAACTCACGGGCAGATAGTAGACTTCTCCAGCTCTGATTTGCTTAGGTTGACCATTTGTTCAGACTCATTTTCACAGTCTTGAAGGATAGTCTTCAGTTTCTCGCTTTCCTAAGGACAAGCCCTTGTAAATATGATGCTATCATCAACGAACAATAAATGTGTAAATACATGAGCCTTGTTGTACATCTTGATACCATGGATTCTGCCTTCTTCTTATGTTCTATTGATCATTGTTGTTAACCCTTCTGCACATATTAGGAAGAGATACGGGGAGATGGGATCCCCTTGTCACAATCCTCGTGTTGGTTGAAAGGCCATGACTTTCTTTATCCATTGCTCATCAAAACCCATTTTAACCATCCCCTTTTTGTTATTCTTCGCAGATCTCTCTGGTGCCTTCCTTATTTATGTTAGAGCATCGTCGCCCCCCTGTGCTCACCGGAGTTCCGCCCACAATGTCCCCATCCTTTCACCTTTCGTTCGTTCTGTCCGACCTATCTTCTTCAACGAGGATACATGAAGCCACTTGCTATATTGCTCTGTTGAGCCTTCCTCGTCCTCTGTTTTTGGATTTGGGTAGAAGCATTGTTGGTGTCCCAGGATGCCATAGTTGTAACAAAATTTTGGAAGTTCCTTTTCTCATAGGTTACTTTGTACCACAACCTGTCATTTTCTTCTTCCAGTAGCAGCACCCCCCCGGCTTAGTGGCTTTGTGATATCAAACTTGACTCTCAGTCGATAGACGTGCTCCATGCTCCAGATATGTACGCATCATAGATTATAAACACACCAATGAGATTACCTATTTTTCCTGCCATAGTAGCAGTTCTCTTATATCTGGGTAGCTTCTTAACTCGGAACCAAATTTCAACTTCATCTCATCCGGATCCTTACCTCTGTCTATTGCTTGAAAGACAAACAGATGGTGGTAATCCATCTCATCCGGAACCTTCTTATGATCCTCAACGTTGTAGAATTGCAGTGCATAGATCTGTTTGTCCCACTTCTGTATTTCGAACCCCTGCAGTAGATTCCATGCCTTTGACATAGTGGTCTTAAGAATATTCAGACTGGGTTCCCTATTGATGTTGCGTTTCCCCACTAGACCCAGCTCTTCAATCGTTTCCTCTACTCCATAATTGATATCCTCTTTCTCCACTGCCACTCTGATTATCTCTTCTTCCATGAGATGTAGGTTTCTCATATGATTATCATGCTCTTCCGCCATTGAAACAAATCAGCGATGACTCCACGCTAATCAAGACAAAAATTTGAAACTGGTAAACCGAGAAAGAAAATGAGATCAAGAGTCACCAAACCAAGCTTTAACTATCACTGCTAACTTTGATGGCAACAACTTAGCTCCGACTCCAAGAGAACGGGATAGAAAACTTCAGACCTCTCAGAGCGAGAGGAGAGTGGCTAAAATAACTCATTTTATGACAATGAGGTATTTGTGTGGTATTGATGTGGTAAATGATTTTGAATATCTTGTTTGGTTGGAGAGGTATTTGAGATGAGTTATTTCAAAACTATAAAGCAAAAGGACCAATATACCCTCATTTTTTAATAACCAAACTTTGTTATGAGTACCCCAAATATCTCCCATGTTCTTGACAGCCTACTAACCATTCCTGCTAAGAGCTAACTATGATATAAATTGAAGATGAGATTACGAAGACCACTTTAAACCATCACCACAACCCCACCCTTCCGCTGCAAGAAATCAATAGTATACATTCACTAAAACATGCAGCAAAACATCACATAATTGGTACTCATCATCTGCAAAACACAAAAAAAAAATAATAATACAGCAATCCTTGTTGTTGGGTGCTGCTTCCTCTGGCGAAAAAGAAAGAAATGAAATGGAAGTAATGTTCAAAAAAGTTCCAACTACTCAATACTTTCAAGCACATATGTTACAATTATAACATATCCGAAACTTCTACAACTTACTATAGCAAGATAAAAAAAAGGGAACTATCCATGTTCTGCACATTATGAAAAATGTCATTTCACAAGAGTTATCTACAACAAGGCCATCATACTAACTATTCGATCCATCATTACTCTACTTCTCCACCAGCTCCATATCTACAAGAACCTAGTTAATGATTATCAAGCTCCTCGGTATATTTAGCACAACTTGATGCCTCTCTTTGCGCTGCAAGTTATCTACCTTCTAAAACAAAGCAAGGCAATAACTTTTAACACACATAACTTGTTAATTAAAAGGTTTACATGATCTGAAGAAGACCAATATAAACTTAAAGCAACCAAAATTTGCAGTTGCAGACTTGCAGTAGCAGAAACTACAAACATTACTACTCAAGATAACATTTTGTTCTTACAAGCTGCACTAACAAAAGCCATTTGCAAAAGATCGTTATAACTCTAATTCAACCATTTACATAATTCAATCATCTAATATTGCACATGACACGCCAAAACACAACACCAAACTGCGACCAAGTGTAATCGCAGTCCGGGAATGCAGTAAAGTGGCAAGTTCTATTATCAACCCGGGGTCTAGATCTACTGCTTACTCCGCGTTATCTATTATCTAGCCAACTAAGTTAAGTGATTGTTGTTTAAAGCAAAAGCAGTAAGAAAGCAGGAATTGGTACGGTTTTCTCAAGCAAAGAAGAGTCACTCGGGAATGAGTCCCCCTAGCTCCTTAGTTAGGTCTCAATTGTAATTTCCCTGGGTTGATTTACTATTGATTAGACTGCGGAAGATCCGACAGTAGCTTGGAATCTCTTAAGCTGACCAAGCCCTCTCAGTCTAACTACCCGACAGACGACTAGTCTTCACCGGGATAGAAAGCTGAAGCAATAAGCACAAAACTCCACTACTGGAATTGGATTCCAGTACAAAGCAGTAAACTGGCTAACTCTCGTATAGCCAATCTCCCACTACCGAATGATGAGGCTCTAACAACCTAATCAGATTCTATCTATCTCAGGTTGCAGCAGAAATCTAGAAAAGCTGATCAGACTTCAATTGACTCAATAAACATGCATCATTCGATTAAAACAAAACAATATAATCATCCCAAGTCATTACAATCAAATCCCTAACACATAGAACTAGGGTTCTTCATACCCAAGTGAGAGAAGGGTTCTACTCCATAGAGAGAGAGGAAAACAGAATACAAAGCAGTCATACTTATAACAATGGGAAGAATCTGCTCTGGGATGATGATTTCCACTCCTATGACGATCTCCAAGCTCGATTTGATGAAACCCAGCCCTAAGATAGCTTCTAGGATGTCTTCTTCGTACTTTCTCTCTCTAGGGCTCTGTTTTTGCTCTGAAAATCCCATTCCCTCACTTGCAGCCCGAAATTGGGTAAAAACCAGAAATTCCCGACTCACACGGGCAGGCCACACGGCCGTGTGGCATACCCAGTTGCCCGTGTGAGGTCAAAACGCCGCGTTCCGAGTAATTGGGTTTCAGGCTTCCCACACGGCCAGGGGCACACGGCCGTGTAGCTCACCCAGCCTGGCCGTGTGAAGCCTCGCAGAATTCCACACGGCTAAATTGCAACTTCACACGGCCGTGTGGAATTTATTTGTGCCCGTGTGAAGGCTCGCACAATCCCACACGGCCTCCTTGGTCACTTGCACGACCGTGTGAGTTGTGTGTGTGCCCGTGTGGCTTCCTTTGTGACTTGCCTCGCGCCCGATCTTCGTCCAATTGACCCCGAACTCGCTCCCAAGCCTTCATTCACTTACTAGGACCTCAAATATTACAAACAAGCACAACCTAGCGTGAAATCGGCCTAAAACACGAGAATCAACACCTCAAACGGCTCCAAAATAGGGGTAAAAACATGTTCAACTAACAGCTTATCAAACTTCCCCACACTTAACCGTTTGCTTGTCCCCAAGCAAACCAAGTTAGACACAAGGTAAGCTCACATATTTCAATCAACCAACATTGGGAACAAATCATATAGGCACATAAACACGTGAATCATACTGGCTTTCAAACATCAGCACATGAATAACCTCAATAGCAACCTGGACAACCACCACAGAAGACATTCGAGTGCAGCAAAATCGAGTAAAGGAGGAGTCTCCCTTCTGTTCATCAACCAACCTAGACTTGACTCAACCACTTACTCAAGACAGTCAACTCATGCATAAAACCCAAGACATCATAATCAAGACCGAGCCATCAAGGTCTTCACCGGGTAAACAGTGTAAAGAACAAGGAAATGAATCGCTCACTCTCGACCAGTGGGGCCAGGACAATTTGATGCGAAAAATGCGCATAATTATTCTCTCAATTCCTAACATCTCTTCACCATGACGGCAGCCTCTAAATGTTAGAGTTCACATAAATGGTTGTCATCACTAACTAACCAGGAGGTCTTAGACACAGGTTCAAGTGACTGGCTAGGGTCTTGGACATGGGGAAAAGGCCTTTTAGGTGGTGGAAGTATTCATAGCACAAGGTTCCACAATTCCAAACCCAACAAACTCACAGTCAATCAAACCAGCACTTTCTTTCTGCTTTTCTGCATTACTCAAATTCAGAGCACAAGAGCGAAGGAGGTCACAAAAATACCAGTATTTCTAAGCCAGACTGCTAAGAAACACTACTTACTGGGCACTATTCTGATTTTTGGTGGTGGCTCACTTTTGCTTTCATTTTTTTCTTTGTTTTTTCTTTCATTTTTTCCATTTCTTAAGAGAACCACCACCTCTGCACATTTTCAAACACCTGCCCAACGTTTTAAGAACTACCTCCAACTCTCACATTATATTTAGCAGAAACAGTAGAGAACATATAAAAATCACTCTGTGGAACCTTCTAAAAGATGCAAAAGGGTGACTTTTCATTGAAGACCGAAAGAAAGGATAACGCACGGCTCAAAGGGGCTGACTAGGGGGTATGACACACTAGGACAGTCAATTTGGTCGTGGGCTAATCCTATGCCTCCATCATCTTAGCCAATGACAACGTGAATGCTACACATCATGGAAGAGGGAACTATCGCACAAGAAAGAAACGAGCAGGCTCAAATCTCACATGGCTACCTATATGCTCTATCTCTCATTCTGATCCCTGAACTAGATGCATAAGAGACTGTCAAAAACAAGTAATCAATCCAAGTCACAGTTGGTAAGCAAACAGTTGAAAAACTGAACCCCTACACAACTCTACTGCACGTCTCAGTCATCATTATAGGTTGTCCTAATCACCATCCAGTTGTCATGCATTAATCCGAAAACCATTCAATTCACCAATCAAAACACAGTGCCAATATGATCAAACAGCCGTACTTGGAGCCCTCAAATCTCGTGATTTGGACAACGGACTAGGCTCCAAGCACACATATATACATTCCAACCGATACAAAGCACCCCCCACACTTAAGCACGACATTGCCCTCAATGGAGCAGAGAGATAGAGAAGGGGAACGATGTTACCGGATTGAAATGCCGCGGGAGACTGGAAGTGGACCAGTCAGCGTGGGACATATGGAACGAACGGACAGTTCTGCACTAAGGGAACAACATGAACACACTAGCACATGTTCGTTAGGGATAAGAGTTGGCCCAAATGGCCACAAAATAAACAATCCACAAAAGAAAAGAAACAAAACACACGACAAACTCAGTTCAAGCTCCTCACGCACAGGGAGCAAACAGAAAAAGTCTAAAACAAAAACACACACTGAGGGGCGACAAGTACAGCCTACTCGTCGCCAAGGTTGTCCAGATCGATGTCACCGTGTCGGCCGAGTTTATAGCCCGTGGCTCGGCCACACGGGCAGGCTCACATAGCCGTGTGAGTTACACATTTGCCCGTGTCGGCCGACACGGGCAAATGTGTAACCCACAAGACACGGGCTGGCCGAGGATTTTCCACTCAGCCGTGCGAAAAGCACATTTGGCCGTGTGACTTTTGACGAGAGCTCACACGGCCAGGGGGGATTTCTACACGGCCGTGTCACAATCACAACAGGCCGTGTGGAAATTCACGAGTGCTCACACGGCCAAAACTCAATTCCACACGGCCGTGCGACTTTCAGGGCTGGCCGTGTGGGCCACCAGAACTCCGAAATTGACCTGTTTTCACTCCAGAACGACATACAACTCGTGAACAACCCCTCAAGACTCAAAAACACAAAAAAATCAAAAGGAAAAAAGTAAGAAAATGCAAACCTAGGTGGGGTTGCCTCCCCACAAGCGCTTCTTTACCTTCTTTTAGC